CGAAGGCGCCTAGCACTCTTGATATTATGTTTAATCCATCTTCTTCTCAGCTAGTTGGTAGAACGGCTCCTGACTCATTGGGTAGGGGGGGGAGGGGGAAATGTTGCCTCTAACGGTGTGTCTTCTGCTAATAGGTTTGCTCTGCTGGATGTGGTGGTGGATAATTCGATTTTCCCCTTGGATGATTTGGGGGACTCGGGGGATGTAATGGTACCTCCTGACTTATGAATATAGTCTCTTGGAATGTGAGGGGCCTTAATCGTAGCCCTAAAAGACAGGAACTTGTAGACTTTGCTTTGTCTCTAGACCCTCATATTCTCATTTTGATTGAGCATAAGATTAAGGAAGATAATGTTGATTTTGTTGTTGACAGTAGCTTTAGAGAATGGTCTTATGCTCATAACTATATGTACAGCAGCTTAGGTCGACTTTGGATTCTGTGGAAGCCATCTATTCTTAGGTTAACGGTGTTGGAGGCTTCTGCTCAAGTCATCCATTGTCAAATTGATAAACCTGGGATGGATCCATTTTTGCTTTTTGCCATCTATGGTTGCAATACAGAAGTGGAGCGTGGGAATATGTGGCGCAATATTTTGAATTTTTCGAACAGAAATCCCGGAAACGTGCCATGGTTGCTCATGGGGGACTTTAATGAAAGAAGGGATATCAGCAAAAGGATTGGCTCCACGGTTCGCTGGACTGCGAGTATGGAGGAACTAAACAACATGATTGAGGAGCTTGCATTAATCGAGCCTCCATCATTAAGCCCGGTCTTCACATGGACTAACAAAAGCTCTGGGACAAATCTTAGAGCAAGTAGAATTGATAGAGTACTGGTTAACGCAGAATGGCAGAACAAGTATGAGCACTACTCAGTTGAATTCCTACTTCCAGGGGTATCAGACCACTCATCCTGTTTGGTGAAATTAGACACTACTAGCAGGAGAAGGAGATATTCCTTCAGATTCTTCAATTTCTGGACCTCAAGTCCGAACTATCTACCTATGATTTCCTCCTGCTGGCAAAAAGAAGAAGTTAGAGGATCATGCATGTTTGCAGTAGTGACAAAGCTCAAAAAATTGAAACAACAACTCAAGAGCCTGAATAGATCTTAGTTTGGTGACTTACAAGTTAAAGTAAACCAGGCTAAGGAAAGCTTGTATCAAATCTAACAAAAGCTGGTGATTGACCCATTCGATGCCATCTCTTGGGCGAAAGAAAAGGCACATTTGGAGGAATTTCTGGCTTTAAGTAAACATGAAGAAATTTTGCTCAAACAGAAATCCAGAAATCTTTGGCTAAAGGAGGGCGACAATAATAGCAAGGTTTTCTTTGCTTCCATGATGCGAAGAAATGCTCAGAACAGGATAAATCATCTCATACTTGAGGAAGGATCCGTTATCTCTGAAGAGGGGGCTCTTAAGAACACAATCTTATCATACTATCAAGCCCTTCTTGGTAGTTCCAGGGGACCTTGTATCCCTTATGAGAGGTATGTCCTTTTTTTCATGAAGATATAAATGCTTTAGTTACTTTCACACCACCTCAGAGAAAGGATATTCTTCGAGTCCTAAAGGGTTTCAATGATTTCAAAGCATCGGGCCCAGATGGTTTTAACAGTCGTTTCTTCAAAAGTGCTTGGCCTATCATTGGACACGACATCGAGGAAGCTATATTGGATTTTTTCTCGTCCAAAAGATTATTGAAACCTATAAATTCCACTATGATCTCTCTTGTCTCGAAGGTTCCAAATCCCTCATCCCTCAAGGAGTTCAGACCCATATCATGATGTAATACCTTGTACACGATCATATCCAAACTCCTTGCAGAACAAATTAGAGGAATGCTCCCCTTGATTGTTGATCTAAACCAAACCGCTTTCATCACTGGACGACAAATCTCAGAAAATATCCTGTTATGCCAAGATTTACTTCACAACTATCATAAGGGAGATAAAGGTAAACGTGTTGCCATAAAAATAGATCTCATGAAGGCTTATGATATGGTCAGATGGGATGTAGTCATTGGGGTCCTAAAAGCTCTAAATACACCCCAGCATCTGGTTGAATTGATAAGTGAGTGCATTACTACCCCGAGGTTTTCAGTGAATTTTAATGGCGAACAGGTAGGGTATTTCAATAGCACTAATGGGCTGAGACAAGGTGATCCTCTTTCTCCATATTTATTTGCTCTAGTTATGGAAATTTTCAATAGAATTGTAAGAGCAAAAGTTGCTGGTTCTTCCTTCAAATACCATTGGCGCTGCAAAACGCAAAGGATTACACACCTTTGCTTCGCTGATGACCTGTTCTTATTTGCCCATGGAGATGTAGACTCTGTTCTATGCCTGGTAGAAGCTCTTGAAGAATTCTCCACTCTCACTGGACTGCGGTTTAACCCTGACAAATGCCAAATATTTTTCTCTGGGTTAAATGAGGAGGAAAAGCTTCTTATATTGGACCATGCGCCTTTTCCCGCAGGTACTCTCCTTATCAAGTACTTGGGTGTTCCTCTTATTACTAAAAGACTCACCTACTCAGATTGCAAAAGTCTTACTGATAAGATATTCAAGAAAATTGAGAGTTGGGGAATGAAGCATATGAGTTATGCGGGTCGGTTACAACTAACCAAATTGGTCCTTATATATATCTGTACGTACTGGATGCAAATGTTTCTTCTTCCGAAGCAAACTATTTATGAGATTGAGACGAAGATTCGCCACTTCCTATGGGCTGGGTTTTCAACAAACTGTGGATCGCACAAAGTTGCATGGCGTGTAGTATGCTCACCCAAAAAGGAAGGAGAGTTAGGATTGCCTGATTTGAACCTATGGAACAAAGTGTTACTAGGGCGCACAATGTGGAATCTTATCAATCATCCATCTTGTTCACTTTGGAGCTCCTGGGTCCATAGTACAAAATGCAGAGGAACCCCATGTTTGCAGATGGACATGAAGGGTAGTATGGCCCGGAGTTGGCGATGTCTCCTCAAACTACGTCATGTCCTAACCCCAGTCATGTCTAATCCAAGATATTGCTGCCATGATGTCTTGGATGAACTTAGACATGAGAGTCCGGCTGTGGAGTGGTATAACTTAATATGGAGTAGCGGCATTAGCAAACACAATTTTATTGGTTAATTAGTATGTAGGGATAAGCTTCCGACAGCAAAGATCATATCACGGTGGATGACCTCAGTCGATGTCCAATGTACCTTCTGTAGGGCAAGTATAGAGAACATGACTCACCTTTTCTTCCAATGCGAATGGACAGGTAGCATCTGGCGCAATATTCTTGCGCAACATGGGATCAGGCGTAATGTATGGGGATGGAATGAGGAGCTTCAATGAATGGTTAGAGCAACAAGAGGCAAAGATTTGGCAACGAAACTCCTCAAAGTATCTTTCCTAGCGACTGTATATTGCACTTGGATAGAGCGCAACCATAGGCGGTTTCAAAACAATCCAACTGACATTCAGATTATTTTGGCGAAGGTGCGGAAAAATGTAAGAGGTAGAGCTTCGCTATAACAAAAAATCAAACCTTCGCAAGCTAACGTTGTTTTAGCTACTTTATGGAGACTTCTTACCTCCATATTCTCGAATTACTAGTACTAGTTGTAATGACAGGGAATGCCCCTAAGCTGCTGTACATCATCTGTTATATACTACTTACATTTTACACAAAAAAAAAACAGTTACAAATTAGCCTATGTGACTTAAGTAAAATATAAATCACATCATTTTGACCAAAAAATCATCTAATCGAACCTTGATGGAGGGTAAATGTGTCACATAAGTGCAAATTTAGAGGTTTTTATGTCATAAATTTTTTTTTTAGTAAATGCGTCATAGTGAGTATTGCTTGGGATTTTTTATGTCACAAAAAAAAAGTTATGGACAAATGTGTCATAGTAAGTATAATTTGGTTGAAATAATGGATTAAAAGGGATTATTAAATTTTTTCATGTATATTTTAAACCCCTTTTCATCTCTTCAAATTTTTGTACATTATATAAACAATTCCTCCTCCTCCTTCTTCACTAATAACATTTTTTATATCTTATTTCTATATATGTGTTTCTTTCGTTGCTTTTTCCCTCGTTTGCATCCCAACAATGTGGATCTTGCTTTAGTTCGTCCGGTAAGAATACATTTTACAGTGAGACGGGATAACTATAAGTCCATCTCATTATTGGACCAAACTTCCGATTAACATAAGTAAATAATGTCACTCTGACATCGTCTAGGTCACCACAAACTTGAAGCTACAACAAGAGGTTGAAATTGGAGAAAGGACGGCCATGTCATTGCCCTATCCTTATGGAATTGGGATGTGACGCCAACCTCCTATGATGAAACTTACAAGCTCACATACATCATTAAGAAGGCCCACGCTGGATCTCTAAATATCTCAAGCTTATCGTGTTGTGTTGAGATGCCGATTTTTTCGGTTTTAACGTATGAAAATATTTGCTCTCTCGTGGTAAGGGTAGCAAGTTCCCATTACCATTTTTTTTTTGGTCGTATAGTTCCCATTACCTTCGCCTTCTCAATGATAAATCAGACTATAATAAACGAGAAAGACCACATATACTCGAGCATAAGAAGTAAGAAAATTTTTTGGGGGTGAGTTATTTTCCTTTCTCGCATTATCAAATGAAGCTGAAGCTGCAACAACAGATTGAAATTGAAGGAAATTAGAACTAGACCGTCACAAATTGATCAACTGATATGGAAAAGTTTTGACTCTTTTCTTTAATCAGAGCATGGAGAGAGGAAACAGCCAAGGATGGATACGACGAAGTAGAACCAAATCTTTGAAATGCTTGAAAATGGGAAAAGTATCAGAAGAGTCATAAATCTTTTGCATTTATGCCAATTTGATTCTAAAACTTTTATCGGTCTTTTTGGCTAATTTTGGCCGGATATTGCTGACTTAGACATCAGTCGGCGTCAAAAAATATAACAATTAATTGGGAAAAAAATGCCACTGGGACAAACGAAGTACTAGGCAACCAAATAAGTTGGTAATAGTATTCACGACATTGGATACATGCAATGTACAATCAGCGAGGAAACAATTCAGAAATTGATGCATCATTCACTGAATGAATTGCTGCCTTGAGCAAGCGCTTGTCATCCTCATCTTCGTCCTTGTTAATTGAAAATGCAGGCTTCTTGGGGGAGTTCACAGCTGAAGATTCATTCTTGAGCATTGAATAGACTTCCAACATGGAGGGTCTGTCCTCAGGCTTCTCTTGCACGCATAGAAGAGCCACTTGCACGCATCTCATGAGCTTACAGGATGATGAAGAGTCATCGAGAGACTGGTCAATGAATTCCATGCATTTATCGTCCTTCCACAGCTCATATGCCTGAAATTAAGAATGCTAGTTGGTTAAAAGTCAAAATTCATGTTCCTAAATTTGAGCCCGGAAATTTTTGAATCACGAATAATCTCTACTTACATATTCGAGAAGATTCAGATTTTCATTCGGGCCATATAAACATGAGGTCCTTTTATCACTGATGATTTGCAACAACAATACCCCGAAGCTGTAGATGTCGTACTTCATCGAGTATATGCCTTTCCTTACGTATTCTGGTGGGACATACCCGCTGTATACAAGAACATAAATTGGTTTTAAGCAGCAGACTTTTAGCATGAGAATATCTGTGAGGTAAAAGGAGGGCCTAGTTAGCTCGCTTACTAAGTCCCCACAATTCGGTTGGTATTTGCCTCAACATCATCCTTCCGAAATATTCTCGCCAGACCAAAATCTGATATCTTGGGGTTCATTTCATCGTCCAGCAGAACATTGCTGGCTTTCAAGTCTCGATGAATTATTGTGAAATTCGAGTATTCTTGGAGATAAAGAAGCCCCTGCGTAATGCCTTCTATGATATGAACACGTTTCACCCAATCCAACGAATATTTCCTTATTGGATCTGCATCATTAAAACCTAAAGACTATCAGAACCAGAAGCAAAATTAGAGCATTGCACACCTTTGTGTACTCCAAATGCTTAAAAAGCCATTGTAGCAGAACTGGGGACCCATTTTAGCCTTTTGGAGTATCACACTAGATGTCACAAAAAAACACTTGGGTTTTGCTCAATGACTATCGTAAGAAGCATGAAAGATGTCGAACCAAATAGGTAGAAGTCCAAGCTCTTATTTGGCATGTACTCATAGATCAGCATCTTTTCTTCCCTGTCAGTACAAAATCCAAGAAGGCGAACAAGGTTGACATGTTGCAGTCTGGCAGTGAGCATAACTTCATTCTTGAACTCCTCGAGCCCTTGGTTTGAAGTTTTCGAAAGTCTCTTCACTGCAATGTACTGTCCTTCGGGCAACTTGCCCTGAGCAACAGGTATGCTGATGGTCAGTACACGGAACTGACTTCCACTTGAACATGGTAGACACAACAAACTTTTCACCGTCTATGCCGGAAGACAGTGTTTTGTCTATGACGTAAGTCACATAACCACAAGCAGCATAAATGAAAAACAAAACTTGAGCAGAATGCATCCAAGTCCAAACTCCTATGATGAAACTTACAAGTTCACATGCATGATTAAGAAGACCTGCGCTGCATCTCTAAATATCTCAAGGTTATTGTGTTGTGTTGTGATGCTGATTCTTTCTGCTTTTAGAGGGGGCATGTAACTTCAATGAGATATACTCACCGGCTCATTCCAACTAAATGATTGAAATTGCTAGTACAAACCAACCTGCTGGCCGCTGCTACAGAGAAAGCTGGCATGCCTATGTTTAACATACGAAAAGATCTGCTCTCTCATAGTAAGGGCAGCAAGTTCCCATTACCGTTTTTTTGGGTTGAAAAGTTCCCATTTATAAGTCAGACTATAAACAAGAAGGAACGCATATTCTTGAGCATAAGAAGTAAGAAAAATATTTGGGGGTGAGTTATTTTCCTTGCTTGCACTAAACAACAACAAACTCATGTTACAGAGCAAAAGGACCGAATCTGGCATTCAATCATGCTTCATACTTCATAGGATTTGCAATGAAACAGAAAATAATGACTATTAGCTTAAGTATGGCCTCATATATTTTACCTTGTAAACAGGTCCAAATCCACCCTCTCCGAGCTTATTTTCACTTGAGAAGTCATCAGTTGCTGCTTCGAGGGTGGCATAACCAAATGTTCGCAGACTAGGAGTACCACTCTCAAGACTTTCACCTTTCCACACCATAGTCTTTAATCGGCTACTAATTCCTTTTATTACACCCGAAATACCTGAGAACCAAAATCAAGAAATTGTATCTAGAACTTTAATCCTTCCTAAGTCAATGTTCCTGATTACCACAGAATTATAGTAATCCTCCAGTGAAGTTTAGAAAATGTACCTTTTGATTTCAATGTTCGCCTCTGCAACCAGCAAATCAGGCCAAATATAAGGAGAACAACTATAGCACTCGAAATAAGCATTACTAGCCAGAGCCATCGCCTGTGTTGCTGATCTCCACTGGCCTCTTGAGCTGAGAAGGCAATTAAGTCCATGACCATTTAGTTCTACATTTTCAATACAATAAGAAGACCTACAAGCTTACAAGCTCGCTCACATCAATAAGAAGACCTACGCTGCATCTCTAAATATCTCAAGCTTATTGTGTAGTGTTCAGGTGCCGAATCTTTCTGCTTTAACATATGAAAAGATTTGCTCTCTCGTGGTAAGGGTAGCAAGTTCCCATTACCGTTTTCTTTTTTTGGTCGTATAGTTCCCATTACCTTCACCTTCTCAATTATAAATCAGACTATAATAAACGAGAAGGACTGCATATTCTCGAGCATAAGAAGTAAGAAACAGCAGGTTGAAATCGAAGGAATTAGAACTAGACCGTCGCAATTTGATCAACTAATCTGGAAAAGTTTTGACTCTTTTCTTTAATCAGAGCGTGAAGAGAGGAAACAGCCAAGGATGGATAACGAAGACGTAGAACCAAATCTTTGAAACGTTCAAAGCAAATATCATTTTGACCATTTGTTGACGCGATAGACCTTTTTTGCTTCACCAATGCAAACCGTCCCTTCGTGCAAAATGATCCGACAAATATAAAATTGAATAAAACGGCGTCGGACTTGAGTGAAATATATCGATATATATCTATGTATATGTTATTTAAAAAGTCAATCCACTTATATATTCTCTCTTGGACACAGAGAGCTTAGCTAGATTTTCCTTTGCTTCACGCTCTTGTACTTCATTGAGAAAATAAAGAAAATATTGTTCCTCAAATGACTAAGTCCATTGTGATCTTGACTATTGTGAATTGCAACATCCCCAAAAAGTTCCTTACCAAAAAAAAAACATCCCCAAAAAGAATTTCGTTCCATTTTAGATGAACATGTAGTGTAAATTTGATCTAAAAATAGAATGTATACTAGAATACTTCCAATACATGATCGAGGGAAAATTGTCCAAAAATCCTACACATATTGAATTTCTGTTAACTCAGTCCTAAACTTTTCAATTGCCAATTTTGCTCATTGAATCTTAAACTTTTTCACGTTTTATCAATTGAATTCATTTGGCCAATTTTGAATAGAAATAGCTAAAGTGGACGTTGGCCGTCCTATGTGTCACGGCCAATGCCGGCTAGTGCTGACGTAAACAAATTTTAATAATATTTTAATATTTTTTTGATTTTTTATTTGCTTTTTTTTCTTTTCTTCTCTTTTCCTTCTTTTCTTTTTTCTTTTTTCCCTTTTCTCTTCTTTTTTTCCTTTTCACTTTCCCTTTTTCCCTCCACCGGAGAAGAGAAAAGGAAAAAAAGAAAAGAAGGAAAAGAGAAGAATAGAAAAGATATAGGGAAAGTTTAGTAAAAAATTCAAAAAGAAATTAAAATATTATTAAAATTTGTCCATGTTAGCACGGACCATGCCACGTAAGACAGTCAATGCCAACGTCATCGATTTCCGGCCAAAATTCGCCGAATGGACTCAATTGTCAAATCATCAAAAGATTTAGAACTTAATCGGTAAAACTTGGAAATGTTTAGAACTAAATTGGTAAAAGTGTAATAGGTTTAGGATTTTTGGACAATTTTTCCCGTGATTGATGTTGTGTAACACGAATATCATAAATTCACCTGCTTGAGAGAGAACCCAATTGTCATCACCAGCAACATGCCATGCATAGTAACCTTTAAGTCCTCTTCCCTTGGCGTACGCGACCTTAGTAGAGATGGTTTGTGTATCATCATAGCTGATCCATGTCGTCTCGAAATAGCAGTAGGCGGACACGACCGTGGAGTTGTACACCGTCGTAGCGTTGTTTTGGGATATGTACTTCGTGATTTGATTGTACTGGATCATCCCCTCAGAGGATATCGCTGGCCCATTGATGGGCGCAAAGTAGCTGTGGTCGTTGGCATCCGCGAGAGCGAATGTGCTGCCGTAGAATGGGACGCCGAGCACGATCTGCTTCTCCGGCATTCCGGCCTGAATCCACGCGCGCACCCCGTCGTCTCCACTTAAGCCATTCCCTAAATTAAAAGGAGCGACAAGTTCAGATACAACATATATAAAAAAAATTACGAGTTTAACGAGGACAAACAGAGGATTTTAAATAAAGAACAAAATTCATGTCAATTACTCGTGGAATAACACCATATGCTTTGAATGGGAAATGATGTTGTAACTCTCTCGACGTTGAGGTAACAGAATTTCAAAGTCATGATGCAAAAAATTCAGAAAACTTCATTGTAACTAAGAATAGTCAAAGTTTATATATCCCAAAAAAGTCGAAGTTGCCACCCCTACCTGGACTGTAGAGAGCAGCAAGTGGTCCTGTGGTCTTGGACCAATTGGGTGCAAAGAAATCATAGGCCATCGCATTGATCCAATCCAAGCTCGCCGCCATGGCGGCCACCGGATATTCCGGTGAGTGCGGCGAGTACTTGACCGCGGCCGACAAAAGCAAAGCATCCTCACCTGAGCTGGCCGCCTCAGCAGCAATCACGGTCCGCCACTCCTGGAGGAGCAACTCCAACCTGGTCATCTTCTCGTCTGTATCTGGGGATACCCAATTAAGATCGAGGCCATGGAAGCCATTGGCCCGAGCTAGGGCTATGGAGGAATTGATGAAAGTCTTTCGGGAGCTAGACTGGCTCACCATGGTCGTAAAGTCGGTTGCGTTCGAGCGGCCACCGCCGATAGACAGGAGGGTTACGATCAACGGGTTCTTCTGCTGGACGTCACTAGTGAATGTCGCGAAATACTGGGCGTTCGCCAACGATATGACTACCTGGTTTGTTGACCCGTTGAGGTCAGCGAACGCGCAGAAGAGATGAGTAAAGAGGGTCGAATCGATGTCGGAGGCCGTGATGCCGCTGTCTGGAAACCAATAGCCTCCTTTGACGGTTTGGGCCATGCATGAGTTGATTTGGAGGAGAGAGAGAAAGGAGATGAAGGGAAAGAGAAGGATACGACTATAGTCGGAAGCCATTTTTGATGAGTTACCTGGAGGAGGCTGTACATTTTTTAGCTGACTTTATACAGGATTTATCGGACCGCATACGCATGTTGTGGCTCAAGTTTAGTCGCGCGTGGATGATGACCGTGACTAAGAAATTTCATGCGAATACATCTCTTTCCTGTGCTCTGACCCAATCAATTAAGAAGGGGAAATTTGTTTCTACACTCTCTTTCATGATAATTCTCAGTTATTTGAATTATTAAACAAGTGATTGTCCATGTTTTAGATTATGTTGGAACTATTGAAAAAGATGGATCACATATGGATCCTTCAAATTTGATGATCTCCATGCAATTTTATTTAATATATGCACTAGGTTCGTGAAATGCTTACTTGGTAATTTGAATGACCGCAAGATGCGGCAATCAATATCTTTCGTGGACTGTGGAAGCGGGAGTCAAAGGTAATGCCTGGAAAAACCAGCGTTGTTTCCTCTGATGTCGACCATATCTATCGCTGTCTTGCCAGTCTGTTGATGTTACTCTGTAGGTTTCCCGCGTTGTTTCGTGAGGAGCTCGTTCGAGTTTCTTGGTCGACGCTGAACTGACGGGGCATACAATAGGTCGCCCTTTTCGTTGAGCTGATGATGCAATATATTCAAGTCTTTTAATTTTTTGACCAAGTCAACAAAGGAGTGGTGGGACCCACTTTTGTTTAAAAAAAGAAAAATAGAAAAGAATAAGAAGGTTGAAAAATTAAAAAGAGGAGGAAAGAGAGATAGTGGCGTTCAGTTCATTTTAAGAGTGGCCGAATCACGTCGGGGAAGAGAGAAAAAGGAGAGAGAGAAAGGAAAAGGGAAAGAAGGAGGAAGAAGAGGAAAGGGGTTTCACGTGTGCACATCTTTGGGACCTCACCAAGCCGACTCGATTACGTAAGCAACTCCCGGTGAGTACTTGCGCCCCTTGTTCGTCCAATCAAAGTATTTTTCAGGTTTAGGACTAAAGATGTCACACCCCAAAACTACAAGAAAATGGGGATGACACGACCGTCCTTCTACACGAAGGATACAGTCTTAAACATAACCAATAACCTAATATCAACATATATATCTCAAACCATATATACATGTCAGATAAACCAACATGTTGATTACACATTAGAGTTTGTATAATCTTTCAAAAGAACATATACAACTAGAACTCACCCAACCCAACAGATAACAACAACTATATACACCACTTCCTTAAGCCATACCCAAAAAGAAACTAAAAGTTTTCCACCGACAGCGCTATCATTCTACTCGCCGCTAATCAAGGAACCTGAATACAAGAAAGACGAGTGGAATGAGCAACCACAGCTCAGTGAGTAATTCATTTCTTCTAGGTGGATCGAGCAATCACTATGCACATTTAAAACACAAACATAACTCACTTTCGCCAAATCTATAAATTTAACAAACCTTCAAAATCAAAATGCAATATTTATTACTTTAACACAATATGTTCAAAGTAGAAATATTCAAGATAATAACAAGCAAACACCGATGGTCCAGCCCATTGGTCAATCTCATAAAAATACACTTCAATGATCCATTCCATTGACTAATCTCATGCCACACATTAATGGTCTATCCCATTGATCCATCTCATATGAATCCACACGTTGATTGTCCATTCCATCGACCAAACTTATATCATATGTCAATGGTCCACTCCATTAACCTAACTCAAATCATATGTCAATAGTCCACTCCATTGACTAGACTCATGCTCAAATATCTAGTCATGACCATGACACAACGCATTGTGACAAGGCGACCAAGATTTCCCCCTTGGCAAGGTCTCCACCTATAAAGCCGGTGGCCTAGAAGGATATCCTAACTCGGTATGCATACCAACATGTCTTTCAATAGGCTCACAGTGATATTGAGCACCAAACCCACATCCTCCAATATCTAGAAATTCAATCCATAAATTAATCTCGTAATCCACAATACATTTCACAAACCAATCATATAACCTTTCGAAACTCAGTTCATCCGATAGAAATACTTTTTTGTAAAGCATTTGTCATATCATTTCATAAACTAAATTCACAAATCGATATGTATATCCTTTTGTAACGTTTTTCATAAAACGTTTCTCAAATTTCTCATTACATAAACTAGTTCTCAAAGCTAGACACATATAACATTCCACAATACCTTTCATAAAATCATTCTCAAATCACTCCCAAATATCAAAATGTAGTAATTGCCCGATCCGAACTTTTATGCAATAAACATGCTCTTTCATTATTTACAATATCTCGAATCTTTACCGTTTTCATGACATGAGTTCACAAATCCATAAAAGAGATAGCACCACCCATCTCGTCGCCTACGACAAAACAATAAACAGTACTCGTATCATCAAAGTCGTATCGAGGAATAATGTTACAATAAAATAAACTCTACCTCAACTACGAAATGACTAAACTACACCTTAACGCTAACAAAACAACTCTTATGCGCTCACAAAACGCTCATCTGAAGCGATTACTCAAACCTAAACTCAATGCGACACTTGCCAACAAAACCCTAAAATCTCGCTCTGACAAAACCGTTGTGCCAAAACAACTCCCATCAAAACCCACAGCTCTACCACACCATAAACCTCCATTTCCATGAAAACCCAAAGCTTTACAACCCAAAAATCAAACTTCGTGGCTCGATTTTCCCAAAATTTCAAATTTGAGCCCTAAATCTGAAAAATACTTCGATTAGATGAACGAGAGGCACGAGTACTCACCGGGCATTGCATTACGTAGTCGAGTCGGCTTGGTGATGTCCCAAAGGCGTGCACAAGTGAAACCCTTTTCCTGTGACATTCTGAAAATCCGACCCACTTGGGATTTATGAAATGGATGATTTATGGACGTGCTTGTAGTTAGATCTCGCCCCGCAACTGATCACTCCTGGGATACTAACCGATAGGAAATGGCCAATTAGGGATTTAAATTCGCGCGACCAAAGAACTCGATTGTGAACTGACTTTCGACCATGAAAATTGTCGAGGTGATATTTTGAGTCAATGTAGGCCGATCCAAGGATAGTTAGGGATCAGTTCGCCACTGTCATATGAGTGAATCACGGGTGATTCCGCTTGACCACTAAATGAATTGACGAACGACCCCAAACCTATACCAAACGATCGTGCCCGTCGGAACTAGCGATCGATCCTCGCGATTAAGTGACAACCGAGGTCGTCACGACCCGAGTGAACTTAAACATGACATGATTCAATATCGGCCACGGGTCAAACGTGCGAATTTCCCTAAAAGCCACCCGTTAGTTCGAGATACGCTCAAGTTACGTAAATTAAATTTGATCATTAATTAGAAACCAAGTTTGGGCATCGGAAATTATGAAGGTCATGACAGGATAATTGGACGATATTGTTATTAGCTCGGTTAGCCTCAGATTTGTTCGGATTCTTCGGAAAATTCGAATTTCGGCGAGAAATGAAAAATGACCGTTTTACCCCTGGGATTTTGTTAAGGCCAAGTATAATGGTGGAGGGGCATTTTGGTCATTTCACACTAGCTTTAGAAATAGAAAATTTTGGACAATTTTGCCCCTGAAAATTTTGTGAAATTTCAATTTTGCCCATGGATATTTTTGGCAAGGATTAATCTGGACCGTCGATCTTAGGATAAGATTGAATCTTGGCCGTTGATTGGATTTTAGAGAGAAGGTTAAGATGGTCTTTTGGCAAGGACATTAGACACCAATCATTGGTATTTAGCATATTTATTCCCATTTTTCTCTCTCTTCCTTCACTCTTTCTCTCTCTCTCGGCATCTTCCCCTCTCTCTCCCACCCGACCGAACCACCTGCTTCCCTCACCGTGATCGTGGCTCGCCGTCCTAGCTAGCCGTCGCTGCCGTCCACCCGCCGCGCCTGGTTGTTGTCATCCATCCGCCCGTGAAGCCTCAGCCTCATCGACGCCATCCTCACCTCACCGCCTCTCCCTCCCCTGTTTTCCCTGCACCGAATTACCTCCCCCACCAGCCTTCACTCGGTTCAGCTTAGCCGAGACAGGCCAGCAGACCGCCCAGCCACCGCCGCCCGCCGTTCAGCCGCTTGCCGTCGCCGAGTGGCCATCGAACTGCCGCCTTCCCCCTCAGCCGAACTAGCTTAGGTTTCCAAGTAAGTTGCCCCCTAAACCCTATTTAGGATATCGGGTACCGATGGACGTAATTAGGGGTTGAATCGGGTTAATTATGGGTTGTTTTGGACTAATTAGTGGCTGTTAAGGGTTGTTTTGGGTGGACTGAATTAGGGGCTAATGTTGGCTGATTTGTGGGTGAAATGGTGATGGTTCGAGACTGAATTGATGCTGAACTGGGTGCTGGAAACCGTGGCTCGCATTGATGAGCATATGGCCCGATTTAGGGACAAATTATGTTGGTTTGGTGTGTTGTGACGCGGCTGGTTTGTGGTACTTGTTATGGCTTGAAATAAGCATGGAAAGGTTGAATTTATGCCCATGATTGTGGCTGTGATTATGGGCCCGATGGTGGCCTTGTATGCTTATTGAATTGTGAATTGATTGATTGAAATGTGGATCGTTATATGCGCGCATGGGCTAAATTTAATTGACTGGCAATTGGCCGTAATTGGGTGTTAATTGAGCATGTGAAAAGCGTGAGATTTGATGCGTGCATGGGCCGAAATTGATCGGCTAGTAATTTGGCATGTTGGCGTGTAAATCGAGCGAGTAAATGAATGAGAAATTTTGTGAGATGTGGTGCGTGTGGTCACGAAAATCCCTGAGGCGATACTATGACACGGGGAATCGTGCCATCCTGAGACGGTACGTTAACGTGGGACGATGCCCGGTATTACCGGAAGACGGCCAACCTGAGCCGTGTACTTCAACGCGGGTTGTGCTCTAGGTGGTAGATGTTGAGCCTGAAGCGGTACTATTACGCGGGCAAGAGACATAGCCTGAGGCGGTACTATTACGCGGGCTAAGAAGTATTGTGAA